GCAGGACTTTACAAGTGTGGCTATACCCCTTGAGCCTGCGCAGTGGATTTTTTAGGTGAGGCTCAGCTTGCGCAGAACTGGTCCCACCCTTTACTCCTGAGGTTCATCTGCCAGGGCCTAGCAAGCTTGGACGGTGACAGTGAGGTCCTCAGGACGTAGGTTTAATTCGAGTATCCTTCTCCTGGATGGATGGCCTTACAGGGCTAAGTGAGCTCCATCTGCCCGGCTTTGAAATTAGAGTTGTCCTTCTCCTAGGATGACCGCCAGAAGGCTAGTGAGCTCGTCCTGCCCATGAACACATTTGACCCTTCAATTTTGACCTGTCTGGCATGGGAGACCCTACCGGAGGCATATGCCACCACCAGCACAGCTCGCCACCTCAAAAGGGCATACTGAAATAGTTTGGACAAGCCCTTTTCTCCCTACCTTTCCTTCACAGCTTCCTACAGTTTAACCCAGGGACATTTCCTTGCCCTGAGCACCCCTCTAAGATGCTATGAAACAAAACAAACAAACCAAAAAACAAAAACACAACCCCCAAAACAACAACGATAAAAACACTCCACATTCCAGCCGAACCCATATCTCACTCCCACTCTCCCACTGCGTCAATGCCCGAAGAGGCGCGATCCCGGCATACCCCTGGGCAAGAGCGGGCACAGATGTAAGAGGTCCCTGCATACACCTAGGCTTGGGCACCCTCCACAGCCCCTGCCCAGCCCAAACCCTCCGGCCCCCAGAGAAACCCACTGCCTACCCCAAATCTCATCCCCCAGTGCGGAGGCACAGAGAAGAAAGGATTTTTACCGATGGAAAGAAGCCTACAAGAAATACTAAAAGGACTCTTTATTTATTGCCACGGACATGGACTCTATTTGTCTGGATATTTGTGGACAGTTTTAATAGTATTTAGCGTATTTGGTGTTTGTTATAAGAGTTATATTTCTATTATATGCTAAGATTTTATTCCCCTCACGAATTACACGTTTCTGATTGGTTGAAAATTGGTTAGCTACGATTGGTCAGCTAGTGCCGCAGTTTAGGCGGGCATAGCTGAGGCAACTTGTTATCTTATTGGTTATTATTATGGCGCGCTATGGTTGTACGGGTTTTATTGGTTGTACCCCCTGTCGTTCATGTAACCCCTCCCTTTGTCCTAGTCCCTTCTTCCCCAAACCTATAAAAACCCCTGTTCTCCCCTCGGGCGGGAGCGACATTTTGGTCCCCAGAGGGTGTCGCAGCTTCCCGGGAGCCCCATCATTTTTCCCTGGGAGTATCCCAACTGCTAATAAATTAACAACAATTCATCGAACCCTCGTGTCGCTCATCTCCTTCTCCGCTCTCGGGCTGCGACACCCCAGGGTGCCACTCCAAGCTCCTCTCTGCACTGCCCACCCGCGGCCCCCCAAACGAGCCCGCCTCGCCGGCCCCCCCACGTCGGCCCGGGGAAACCCCGGGTCCGTCCTCCCACCCCCCCGTTCCTGCCCGGCCTGACCCGGCCCGGCCCAACCTGGGGATCTCCCCCCCTCTCTGAACGGGGCCATCCATCCCCCCGTCTCCCGAACCATCTGGGGAACCTCCGGGACCGTCCGGCCCCCCCTCGGCCCCGCCCCTGCACCCGCCCGGCCCGACCCCGCGCGGCCCCGTCCCGCGGCCCGGCCCCGCATGGCCACCGGCCATTCGCCAACCGCTCCGCCGCTCCGACCTCGAAACAGAGCTCCCGACGGCTTCTCCACGAGCTCGACTACACAGATCGGCGCGGCACCATCTCCCGTGCATGCAGGGCAGCGACGAGGCACAGCAGCGGGAGGGGGTCCCTCACCACCCACCACTCAGTTGCAGGAGCGCGCCGAGTGCGTGGCTGCCTGCCCGCCTGCCCGCCAGCTTGGCCCCCCTGCTCTTGCTCGGACTTCTCCTGAAAGGTGGGGAACAGACCCTTCCGCAGGCTCTTTGGGTTGGTCTCCGCAGGCACAGGCAGAACCCAAACCTGCTCTTCACAGCCTTTCTCCTTCCTCTCTACAAAGTGAAAGCAGCCCCAGGGAGTGAAAGGACATGGAGAGCTGCCAAAGGGAGACTTTTGTATCAAACTCACTGGGACTCTTTCGGAAGTACTTGCCTTGAGGAGCCTTGCCTCCAAAAGCATTTACCCAAACCTGTCGTTT